AATCCTGAACGCTATGAGTTGAGCCACAAGAAGGATGTACCTAGATCGCTCCGTCACTACATGAAAGAGAAGTGGCCTGGAGAATCTCCCTACTCACATTAGGATTTGTGTACACAGGTTATAACCTTTATTGTGTAAAGCCTCTGAGACTTAAGCCTTACTTTTCTGACTAATCTAATTGTTTATCCTTCACCTACTTATATACTATTTTTACTGCCTTGAATTATGTTGAGATGCTTCAGACAAGGCTAGATCTTTACTACTAAATCAGCTTAACCCAGCCTGTTAGTCCTCTGCAGTAGCCTGGAGCTACTGGATTTAGACAGGAAAGGAGATCATTCTAACTGTCTACCTCACCCAAGTTCTCTGCTCCACTAAAGACCATATGTTATTTGAATAGGGATTTGCCAACAGCTCTTAATTCTTTCAAGTTATATTTTGAAATAAGTTTCCTTTGCAAGAAACATAAGTTTCTCTTAAAAGGAACTTTGACAAAAGCTCCACGAAAGAAAGATTATTTCTCTGATATATTCAATTGTCACTGCCTTTGGTACACCATGACTTCCTTCTACTCACAAATAAGTAGATAACTAATTCTATTAACAAGCACATTAGGGAATAGAAATGGTTTAGTAGCATGTTAGACTAAATGATTTTATGTTGGCATCTGCTCTCCTATTTAAAAGACTGCTTGGATAATGGATATTTTCCCAATTGTTTGAGAAATTCAGTCTTCTATAGCTAAAATCTTGTTATCCTGGACAAGTGCACTAAATTACATGAATCACTCAAAATCTTGGTAGATCAGATTGATAGTGGAAGTGGAGTACAATGTTATTGTTGTTTATTTGAGAATTGACTGAACAGCCTAATGCTAGTCATTGAGATTAAGTTTAGCCTTTAGAAACACTATTCTGAAGCCGGGCACAGTGGCTTATGCCTATAATCCCAGCACCTTGGGAGGCCAAGGTGGATGAATCATCTGAGGTCAGGAGTTCAAGACCAGACTGACCAACATGGTGAAACCCCATCTCTATTAGAAATACAAAAATTAGTTGCAAATTGTGATACATGCCTGTAATCCCAGCTACTCAGGGGGCTGAGGCACAAGAATCACTTGAACCTGGGAGGCAGAGATTGCAATGAGCTGAGATCATGCCATTGCACTCCAGCCTGGCAGACCTGGGCAATAAGAGTGAACCTCTGCCTCAAAAGAAAGAAAGAGAAAGAAAAAGGAAGGAAGGGAGGGAAAAGAGAGAAAGAAAAGAGAGACAGAGAGGGAGAGACAGAGAGTGAGGGAGGGAGGGTATTCAGGATGCCATCAACTTCAGGCATTTCAATATATTTTTTATTTTTTTTTTTTTTGAGAGAGATAGTCTTGCTCTGTCACCCAGGCTGGAGTGCAATGGCGCGATCTCAGTTCACTGCAACCTCGGCCTCCCAGATTCAAGAGATTCTTTTGCCTCAGCTTCCTGAGTAGCTGAGATTACAGGCGTGTACCACCATGTCCAGCTAATTTTCGTATTTTTAATAGAGATGGGGATTTGCCATGTTGGCCAGGCTGGTCTTGAACTTCTGACTTCAGGTGATCCACCTGCCTCGGCACCCAGTCAATGCTTTGCTTATCTGGCAAAGTCTATCAAACATGAGATTTAAAAACTAAATGATACTTATGGGAGAATGTGTTTCAAAAGAAAATAAAGAGTATATCCTGGCTCAACAATCCAGGGAAGATTTTATCTTGTTGACTTTGTTGTTTAATAAAACACGAGCTCTTACATCAGTTGAGAAAACCACACCATGGCAATATTTTCTCCAGGAGACTCTGAAAATCTGCATGAATTTATCATTCTAACTTCAATGCTGCGGGAAGTAAATAACTTGGACATAAATATGCCAACAGCCAAACATATATGCAGCCTAAGACTATTGCATGCATATCCTATTTTATGGAGTAACCAGGGGATAAAAGCTGACTTATTATAGCTGAACAATTATTTTGGGTTCCTTATTAAATGATTTATTCAGCTTACTTTGTGATGCCAATGTGCAGTGTACATCGTATTCTCTCCCTTATGTAGGCTAACTCTTAAATATAATTGTTAACCAGTTGACTTTGTCACGTGTTGTTAAGTCATGATTCTCAACAGTGTTCATATTTGGCTCTAAAAGGTTCTGGAAGGTGGCATCTACCAGGTGGTAAACCTGGTAGAAATGATAAAATGGGAGGCAGAACTGTGGCTGAGTATATTACAGTTTGTTCAAGAAGCTGTATATGCTGAATAATAAAAGTACTTTGTAGGTACTTCTAGTAAATTGAAAGTTGCCATCAGTGAAATATCACTCCTCAGAGAAGCCACAAGCCCTTATACTCAAAACTGTCCCTAGCCAGAGTCAAAGAACCAAAACCAGTTCTCAGCGTCTGTGGAGTTGGTATGTAGCTAAAACATTGGGGCACTTTCTAGCTTGGTGATGCTGGGAAGGACACTTAAACTCTCTTGGCCTGTTTTCTCATCTGTGAAATGGGGACGATAATAGACGATGGTAGTGAGGAATAACTTAATACATATGAAGTGCTTGGATCATTGTCTGGCACAAAATAAATTCTGTGTAAATGTTTGCTAATACTATTTTAGGCATGTTGCAGCTACTCTATATAAAGTGATGCTAAAACTGTGCCATCAATGTAACAAAAATTAATGTTAAAGTAATGTAATGCTATTTATATGGGTAAAATGATTACTTCTGACTAACCTATGTTAATTTAAAATTTTATATGCCTTGTGGAATAGGCCATAAGTTGCTCTTTGAAAATAAATTCCAGATAGCATGTATCTCTTTCTCATAAAGCTAGAAAAATATAGTTATTTCTATTTTTTATAATAAAACCTCATAAAAATCAAGATTATGTGAAAATTGGGCATTCTTTTAATGACTAATAGGTACTGAGTGCCCTGAATTTTTTAATAATCATCTCATCCTTTGGCCAGGAATTTCCCAGTTCTTTTGGGATGAAATAAGCTTTTAAATGTTTACGGTTAGAATTTAACTTTCATTCATATATAACTACTGAGTTAGTTTTTGGAAAGACTAAAAGGATTTTTTTAGTGGTGTTTTTAATATTACTCAAATAATGAACATACTCTTTGATATCAGATAAGTTAAATGTTTTCTGTAAATGGCCAGATAGTAAATATTTTGAGCTTTGTAGGCCATATATCTGTCAAAACCATTCAACTCTGGCATTATGGCATGAAAGCAGCCATATACCGCACGGAAGTGTGTGGGAGTGGCTATGTGCCAATAGCACTGTACGTAGAAACAGCAGGATGGTTCTGGCCCATGGACCATAGTTTCCTGATTCATATTTTATAAAATTCATTTTTTTTCTTATTTTTGCTAGGGTAAAAGACATACACATAAAATGTGTACTCACTTATCCATATGCATGTGTGCTTACTTAAAAATCATGAGGATGAAGTACAAAAAAACAGGCACTTTAAGAAATTTAAGAAAAATATATAATTTCAAGAGAAAATAAAACATGATATTTTAGCCAGCATTCATTTGTTAAGTACGCAAAGACTCTTTCATCTGAATAAGCTCCAGAGCTGGCCTACCATTTTACTTTAGTTCTAAAACCAACCTAGAAGGTTTAATTTACTTATAATCAAAACTATCCTTAAAAATTCTCTAAATAGTCTTAAGTTATTGTGTATAGAACTATGTACTATATTGTTATATATATTTTAAATGTGAGAACCACTGAGCTGGACTAAAGAAAAAAAAAGCTGTGTGCAAAGAATTAGATGGTCAAATCTTTCTTTTTAAAATAGTTATTCAAATTATTACAGGGAATGGACAATTCTACCATGTTTTTTCTTGCCTGCAGACATTTTTATAAATGTTTATTTAAATGTTAAGCCTTTCTAACTTGAATATGTACTAATAGGACTTGTTTGCTCCTGCACCATATTTTCTGCTTTTGAATCAACCTTTGTCTGCTCATATCCATATACACATTGGTCTTTAGAGGCTCATAGAGAAAAATTGAGCCATCTGCATCTTGTCTTTCCAATTTGCATTTCCTACTGGGTCTTAAAGAAGAGTTCATAGCTATCAGAGTTTGAGTCTGGGTTCCTTACCTGTAGAGCAACATCTTCCTTGAGGATATCATGGGGCCCACCCTACTAGAAGTAAAATCACACAGGTCCTGACAAAATGCATGGGGATACATAGATTTAGACAACTAAGAGAGCTGGACTTTAAAATGGGCCTCAGCTCTGCAATCCCTTATGTATTATGCATCCTTTGTAGTCCTTGTAGATGAAGTAGTCCTCCTGAATGGCTTATGAAGTAGAAAACGAGCATAGTGCTTTCTAGTAATTCTACTTATTTCTACGTACCACTCCAGGAAGAAGTATTCTGTATTGTTTTAAGTGGAGTTCCTAAGCAGAACTACTAATCCAGAATGACTTTTAGGATTCTGAATGTCAAAATTAGTTTAGTACTCCATGGAGAAAATTTAATGAGTTGTTAAAAAATTATTCTCCATCCTGTGCTGGAGAGAATCAATGCAGCTTGGGCTGGAGGCCCAGTCCTTTTAAGATTACTGGATATAATTAATGATTTATTAGAATGAATGTATTCTCTTGGGAGAAAATATGATTGTCTGCTATTTATTAGCTGAAGACAATTAAAAAATTTATTCTTCCTTGGATGTAATACCTATAAAGTGCCACTGGAGTGAATCTAAAAGTGAGAAAAAGCATGCAGCAGTTAGCATTTTCACTGCTCCATTCTATCTGCAATGGTGCCTAGCCATTGGCAAATGCTCAACGTATGACCACTATAAAGAACCATGAGGATATCCATCTCATAGTCTCGTAGTTGCCAAATACAAAAAAAGCCACAAGATGAAATTTGTTGCTGAGCTACTTGATGTCATTAATGTACATGGATCAGGGATTAAATTATTAATTTTCTATTTTTTTTAACAGAAAGAAGCTAGAAAATATTATCAACCCTTTGAGAACACGACATAACGAACTTTGTATTTTACTACTTCCTTGAATAGGTAAGACCCTACTCTCTCTACTCTGAAAAAATTACCCACAATTGTGAAAAATAACTCTTTGCTAACCTTTAATTTTTAAAATCTTTAAATAAGTAACAATTCATTTTAGCAATGGAGAAATAACTTACAAATAGTTATTTCTAATGTTTTAATAGTTAATAGCTAATAAGTTTAGTATTATTAAAACAGCACTTCACAGTTTTGAGTTGACTTAATAGTAAGAGAATGGCAAGCTCTTTCTCTGAATCAGGATTGAACTCAGCCTGTCTCTCTCCTGCTGTGGTTAACAATGCCAATGGTATTTCCTCAGCACCTATCACATCCAGGCATGGTCCTACATGACTTAATTTGCATAAATCAATTCATTTATTTCTTAAACAGCTCTATGACGTAGATATGGGGATCATCCCCATTTTATAGATTACAGGCATGAGGCAGAGAGAGAGGAGGTGGATGCAGGGATTCACCTCAGTTGGAATACATGGCTCTGGAAGCAGGCACTGGAAAGAGCACCAGCCTTAGCTGTTATTAGGAAAGTGGTTTCATATTGTGGCAGAAATGTCTACCAGTCAGACTCTCCTACCTTTTGAGCAGTTTTTATCCAAATTAATGGAATAAAAATAATATAGTGCATTTACTGAACGAGCAGTAAATGCATAGCAGGTAACCTTACATTTTATGTTTGCATTTGTTACTTACAAAATTTTTGCATGAGTAAGTAAAAGAATACATACACATTAGCTCAGTTACAAGCAGAAACAATATTATTCTTTATTTTACATCTTTAAACCCAAATTCCTATGATAAAAGCATAATACAATTATGGAAAGATTATAAATGAATGATTTCTTATTCTAGGAAATATATTTTAATTTAGTTTTTTTTATTAGAAGTACTGAATATGCTATCTTAAATTGGCCACAGCAGGATTCACTTTCTTGCTGTTATTATTTATTTTGTTTTTAAGCAAGAAAATTTATAAGATGTTCAAAGCAAAATATAAAAAAATTATAGGCCGGGTGCAGTGGCTCATGCCTATAATCCCAGCATTTTGGGAGGCCGAGGCAGGCGTATCACGAGGTCAGGAGTTTGAGACCAGCCTGGCCAACGTAGTGAAACTTCGTCTCTACTAAAAGTACAAACACTTGGCCAGATGTGGTGGTGGGTGCCTGTAATCCCAGCTACTCGGGAGGCTAAGTCAGGAGAATTGCTTGAATTCTCCTGACTTAGCAGAGGTTGCAGTGAGCTGAGATCATACCATTGCACTCCAGCCTAGGTGACAGTGTGAGACTCTGTCTCAAAAAAAAAAAAAAAAGATAGCAAACCCTAAGTATCCATCACACAGATTAAACAAATGCTAACATTCAGCTCTATTAAAATCTTATCTAAAGAAATAAACCATCACAGATGTCATCAAAGCCCTTCCTGCTTCCTTTTTAGTTTCTTCCATTCTTCCAGAGAAGTCAAAACCCTAAAGATAACATAACCTTCCTATGTGTGTTCTAACAGTGCTATGACATGTGTAAGAAACAAGTGTCAAACAATTATTAACCTTTTAAAAGTTTACTTAAAGGGCATCACACTGTTGATATTCTTTTGCAGCTCGTCTTCACCCAACATTATATGTAGAGACTCTTTCATATAGAGAGATGAAGATCTGGTTGACACCTTCTGTTATAAAGTTGACTCATTTTAATGTTTTAATCTTCTGGTGCTTAGTATTATTAATTATTATTTCTAAATAACTTTCAGCATTTTAAAGGTTTAATGTTAAAATGGTTTAAGCATGACTTGCAAACCGTATTTTGGATTTATGTATAAGGAATTGAAAGTTTTTAATATATAATATCATACTAATCCTGCTTATGTTTTATGTTTTTCAACTAGAAAAACATTTTTTTTTAATTTGGCTTGTAAAGATCTTACTAATCTAATGAGATTCATGATTTTCACTTTTTTGCTATAATAGTTAGAATCTGTTTTATCTCCTTATACATGAAATACTTACTATTCCTAAATATAGTATAAATTACTACTTTTGGAATTTAAGATACTTAAAAGTCAAATACCTTTGTTTTGTCCATGAAGATAACTTAAAAGTCAAATACCATTGTTTGTCCCATGAAGATAACTTAAAAGTAAAATACCTTTGTTTGGCCCAGGAGTTGCTCATATTCTCCTAGAAAATAATCAAAGATATTAAAACAGAAGATTTTTTTTTTCAAATTTTATTCTAACACTATAGCTAATTTTAGAATTTGTTTAAGGTAAAAGAAATGTCAGTATATTGTAGTGAAATAGTTAGACATAGACTCTTTCCCAACTTTTATTTTCTGAGGGAAATAAATTATTTTGTCAGAGTTGGGGAAGAAAGAGGAAGAGAAAACTAACCTTTCTGGGCAAATATGAGTAAATATGAGATTTTATGTAAATATCTTAGGTCAAAAATGCATTACCATTTTGCACAGGAGGAAAATAAGGCCCAAATACCTCAGGTAACTTATTCAAGATTGTATAATGATTACAGAGTCTGGATTCAAACTCATCTCTTTCAGGCCCTGAAGCTATTCTGCCTACCAGAAAATAAATTGGAAAAACCTAATCTGTTTGTCACATAAATAGAAATTTTATTTATGCCACTAATATTTATTGGAATCCTTTTATATGAGTAGAAGGTCAATGTTAGGAAAGCAAGGAAGACACAATACTTAAAATGAGAAAACAGGCTATTGAAAACCATGAAGATTCATTTAGTGATGCCACTAAATGTGACCATTTAACTGGACATTTTTATTTTGTTGTGACATCATTACACTATTTACCAGATGATTATCTTTGAAATTACCTAGCCATGCCAATTCAATTAAACTGCACAGGATAATGGGAATGCAAATGTTTTGAAAATGACAAAATCTTTGCAATCATTTGCTAATATTACTAATTCTCATATTCCGTGAATTTAGAGTTGAATACTTCTATCCTAACATATGTCCTTCTAAATGTGGTTGAAGTTTGAGTCTTACTAACTTATACAGAATTCACATATTTTTCTGCCAGGCATGGTGGCTCATGCCTGTAATACCAGAACTTTGGGAGGCTGAGGTAGGTGGATCATGAGGTCAGGAATTCAAGACCAGCCTGACCAACATGGTGAAATCCCATCTCTACTAAAAATATAAAAATTAAGCGGGTGTGGCGGCACGTGCCTATAATCCCAGCTACTCAGGAGGCTGAGGCAGGAGAATTGCTTGAACCCCAGAGGTGGAGGTTGCAATGAGCTGAGAACACACCACTGGACACAAGTCTGGGTGACAGAGTAAGACTCCATCTCAAAAAAAAAAAAAAAGAATTCACATATTTTTCACACCAAAACTCCCTTAAATATTAGAGAGCAGTGGTTAGCAACTCTGAAAAGTTTGTTTCCAGCATGCGCCACCTGTTAAAGGCATAATTTAATCTCTTTAAGCTTCATAGTAGGTAAGTACAGTACCAAGCTCATGCCTGTTCAGGATCTTATGTCTTATCATCTCTATCTATATCATTCACATCCACTGTCTCTCATTTTTACTACGATCATAACCCCCTGTGCCCAGTCTTGTTTTCCTGTAGTCTGTTGTTCACATGGAGTCAGAATGATCTTTTAAAAACACCTTAATTGATATGACTCTCCTATTCAGAATCCACCAATGGCTGCCTGTAATATAGCCCATATTCCTACAATGGCCAATAAGATGCTACATATACTGGCATCTTCTACCTTCCTGACATCATCTCAACATGATCTCCTCTCATGGAGAGCAGAGACTGTGATGTTCAGAGCTGTATCACTAGCCCCTAGAACTACCACCTATCTTGGTGGATGGGCCCTCACTTGCTAAAGGGATGACTAGCTATGCAAGAGTTACCATGGAACAATACAGGTAGATGCTGTGCACACAGAATACACTTAATGCACAACAGTAATAATCGTTGCCCTTTTAAGGATTCCTTTGGTTTGTTTCAACAGAGGCCATCACATCTGCAATGCTAAAGCACTTTCATGTTTTTGACGCATGATTTTATAGCATTGTAAGAAACTTTATTTTGCTGATTTATAATTTCAAGCCATAATGTATAATATCAGAAGAAGGAAAAATGCACATAGGCAAATCAGGAACAAATTAGCTGGATGAGAAAGCCAGGTGAAGAGCAGAAAATATTTATTATTCCTTGCAGTCTTTTAACTAAATAATACTACTAAGATTTACCACATTCAACATAGGTTAGACTTGACTTTATCTTCAGAATAGATTTCTATCTTTTCATCACTCATATATGAGCAAAGTTTATCCTTTAAGACAATTTTCTGTAAAATAGGCTGGGTTTTTTTTTTTTGTTCGTTTGTTTTATTTTTTACAATATTCCTAGGAGAAGCACTTGATGAGTGTTTATATTTTTGAGAATATTTGGCAAGGGAAAGACAAACAGTAGCACCACAATACCCCAACATTTAAGGAAATGAGAAAGAAAGCCTGGTATTTTCACCATCCTCTCTGAAAATAAGTACTTTGACTTGCACTGATTACTACTTTATCAGCATTCAGCTCCGCTCCGTGGCACTCTGTGCAAATAATTTTAAAGACAGATTAAGCATTCTAAAAATAAATTCTGTTGGTAAATTCGGGTATCAGATGCTCCCATTATAAAAGCCTATTCAATTCTGTACTATCAGCTGGCAGTCATATCCAGACCTCAAGCTACTCTGGCTCTTATTGAGCAAGAACCTATTCCAAGGATGAGGTTTTGAAGAGGGATCTCTCATAGTTAACTAGAGACAGAAAGAGGGAGAATTGCCCACATACTCTGGCAGGAGTTAAAATAACAATAACAGCCCTCCTACTTACAGGCTGAGTCATCAGCATATTCTACTGATTTCTCAGTAATTCTGGGCAGATTGTTTGGGCTGGAATCTGTAGGCAGAGGTAGGCACCACCTGCTTCAAAAGGCTGTAGTTGTTATTA